GTGGAGCCACAATAGTGGTGCTGAATATATTCCAGAGGGGAAACCACTGAGGAGCTTTGCAGCTGTGAAAGAAAGATGCCGGGAAGGATAAATTGTGAACCAATGCAATGTCAAATCTAAGAAAAGTTTAAATTGGAAGCTCAGTTCCATGTAAAACGTGCCCCCAGCCAGTTTCTGCCTATGTGCAAACTCTAAGTTCTACCATATTAGGTGGTTGAGCATAATAATGGTAAATCCCATTATTAAAAATGGGACTCTCTTCTTTCTTCACAGGTTATCACATCTTACAAAATAACATCTTACCTCCTTCTATTCCCAACAAGTGTTTACTGGGTGCTCCTGCAAATAACAAGAGTTGCAAATAGCACCTGGCACAAACTTGGGAAAAGTTTCAATGCCATGAAACCTGCAGAATTATTTCTTTTCTTATTAGTTTAGATTTTTAAGAATGCCACAGTTGAAACTTGCTCCTTGCCTGACTCTGCCACGCCCAGGTTCCTTCCATCAGTCCTGTAAGGTGTCACCAATGAATTGGCAACAACAAACCCCAAATCCCAGGACGGGGATGTCCAAGGATCACAGTTTCATTTCAGTTAGGTGTAATTTTCCTGCACTGTGTGAGCATGGGACCAGGAGGAGACTCTCATAGTCCAGCTCATCCATGAGGTCACTGCTGCAGCCAGTAGTGAAGTGTGTTACAGGCTTCAAACAGTGTAATGGGAACAACTAAGAACAGCACAGAATTTGATACAAGGATTTTCTCTTCTATTCTTGCATTACCAGGGGTATTTATAAACTCTAGCAGTAATTAATTTGCATTTATAATATAAAATTATAAAAAAAAATTTGCAAACATAATGAAACTTGGTGCTTATCAGCTTCTTGCACAGTTCATGTCTAAACTTCCCCAGACTTTGCAGCCATTTGTGCACCCAGCTGAGACCCAAGATACCCTGGCAGTACCAGTAACAGACATATACACCATAAATTCACCCACCCATCCCTGCTTCTGCAGAAACACTGACTTCTCAATGTCTGGACATGTCTGCAAAATCTCTTCTCTACCTATTGACAATGGGACCTTCATTTTTTGATCAGAATGGGAATGGGTTTAGTGGCAAAAGTCCCAGGGAGCAGAGAGTTAACAGCTCTTGTACCTCCCCTGCATAAAACCCAGCCCAGGGCCAACTGCAAGACCTCACCTCAGTCTTCAGTGAATGTCAGGACAACAGGAACCACCTTTTGCCTGTCCAAAAAAGGAAGCAATTAATAATGGAAACTGCTCTCTGTTTAAAAATCCTTTCCCTGTACACCAAAGGCAGCTGTGCACCTACAGCAGGTTTGGGATGGCTGTGGCTTCCTCCCATCACCCTCCTTCAGTGCAGCTGAAAGCTTTGCCCTGCTGGGGCAGTTGTGGGCATTCAGTTTATTTGTGATGGTGAGATCTTCCCACTGTCTACAACTCCCACAAAGGAGGTTGGAGCTGGGCGGGGTTGGCTCTTCTCCCACATAACCAGCTCATCGGGAGACCCCAGGCTCTGGGAAAGCAGTGAGTGGTTTTCATTACAGTTCAGGGAGCCAGAGACCAGCAATTTTTTGCTTTCTTAGTAAATTGTCCAAGTTGGTGTGAGAGAGAGCTCTGCAGGGAATGAAAGTAAGCAGCCACTGCACCCCCTTGGTGTTTTCTTCTTGGCTTTTGCTGAGTTCCCATAATAATGCTGGAGCTCCCTGTACTGGTCAGGGGCTGTAAAATCTCCTATGTTGAGAGCTAATCCAACCAGTTAATTAAAGAGTCCATTGGACTTTCAGAAACAGTGGGAGATGCAGAAGCAATTATCTCCAAATTGGCCATCGTCACAAAGTGCCATTTGGCGAGTAGGGAATAGTCTCCAGCAGGTCCCTTTAGGGGTGGCAATTCCTATCCATTATTGGGTTTTACTGCTGGGTGGTGGTTGTGGTCTGAGTAAAGCCTTGGGGGAAATGATTGGAACACTGTCCCCAGTTCTGGGAGGAGTCAGATGCAGAGGGCAGGGGCCGCAATTGGTAATTGAGCTTGGTGGTTTAATGTGCCAGCATGTAGAAATCCCATTGAAGGAGCCCATTAGAGGCAGGAAAGCTGAGCAACTAATTTGCTGCTGATAATTTATTTAACATATTTAAACCTTTTAACGTTTTTTTTTCCCTGCTCGCATACTATGGCTTCCTCAGATGTATTCATTACTCAAACCTACCTCGTTGTTTCTCTTGAAACATTCAGGCCACACATGGAGGGTTCGAGTGCTGTTTTCTCCTTGCATTGTGAGATAAATCCTTGGTGTCTCCATGGGGTGGGGGCTGAGGCATATCAAGTGTGTGTTTCTGGAGCGAGGCAACACTGAGTTTCAGGTGTAGCTGTGCCTTTTCTCTGAAACTTGCTTGCAGTAAGTCTGATGCCTGAAAAATGAATTGTATTTTCAGGGAGCAGATCAGTTAAGTCGTGGGGGTGTGAACAAAAGCAGGGCTGTTATAATCCCAACTTTTATCCAACACTAAGTTGGTGCTCTGCAACTGGCAGGTAGCTTTGAACTTCCATTTGAAGGGCAAAACTGCAGTATGAGAAAACAACCCGAGTAACACAAAAGCTCATCAGCAGAGGACTCCTTTAACAGATTCCTGGAGATTTTGGTAATGTTTTTACAAATGATGTGCCAGAACCTGAGCAAGCCATCACCCTGCAGAGCAGCTTTTCCACCCTGTGTAGGAATGCTCTTTCCTCCTCTCCTACCAGTCCTCTTTCCCCACAGGGTAAACAGCTGGAAGTGTTGAGCTAACAACTGCCAGAGGCTTCAGACAGACACTTTGTGCCACATGAGATCCCGGGACACCTTAATGACTTCTCTTTAGCTTAATGCATCTCTGTAACAAACGGCATCACCTGCTATTGCTGATCTTGCACCACTTTCTGACTGCTGCAGAAGAACAAGGAAGGTTTGGCTCTTTGGATATCCTGTATGAAGTGAGCTTTCAGTCTCTGTTGCGCTGCTGAGCAAGTCCTGAGTTGCTCCGAGCTATGTCTGCCCTGTTGATGGAGCAGGGGGTCTCCTGGCTCTCATCCTCTGTATCCCCATTAGTAGCAGAGACTTTGCCATGCCAGAGGTCTCCTTGGTGGATCATCTCACACAGTGTCCCGTGTCTGACTTGGTATATCAAATTAAAACTACATTATGACTTGTAATTCTTCATGGTCATCTCATCGGAGTGTCTGTTCAGTGTTAGACGCAAAATGTCTTTTCTTGTTTCTTGCATCAAGTCTGTAATTTGTTGGGAGAACGAGCACATTTTTAAAATTTATTATCCTTATTTAAAGTTGATTTCTAAATTTATTATCCTTATTAAAACTGGAGTGTTAAGGGTGCATGTTCAGTGGATACATTTGCACATACAGTGACTTGCAATAAATCAACCAAGCCTGGCTGTGTTGAAAACCAGCATCTAGTACATTAAAGGGTGAATTTCTGCAGGAATAATCACCAGAGCAAACACAGACAGGCAGTACAGTTCATACCCTGGCTTTCATTTTGAGGCCATGCCTGATCTCCTGGAGCTAACAGATACATAATTGGTAGGATATTCAAATCATCTACTTCAGACATTTCAGTGGCATTCCAAGCACCTCAGTTAGGAGCCTAAGTCCCAAAAATGCTCAGTGATTGAGAAAGAGATGCATCCCAAGTAATAACACCAAGTAAACTGATGTCACAGTATCAGTCTATGAACATGTAGAAAAAGTTCCTGGCTGCTTTTAGTGATTATTCAGACAAACCCTAAGGCTGATAGTACTTCACTCTGCTAACAAGAAGAGAACTGATATATTCCTTTATTTTCTTGGGCTTTTTTCTTTTTTATCTTTATTGTGATACAGATGTTTCAGGTATGTCTTGGATGTTTGTTACTAAGAGAAATAACATATCTACATGTCTAAACATTCAGGAGAAAAGTCTTAACAGAGACCTGATTTCCCTGATATGCATTTGAACAAGGGAAAAATATGTTTTTACAGTTATTTTTGCAGCTTTTTCCTTCTAGACCTACTCAGAGGATGGTTTAGTTCAGCTTTAGTTTAAATTAAAGACTGCCAAGGGAAGATACTTGGCTTGCTCTGTACCCTTCAGGGGGGTTGAAAGCAAGAATGATTAGATGTAAAATTCAAGAAACATGTGCTAAATTAGTTTTACTCCAGTTAGCCAACAGTTTTGCTATCACCTCAGATCTGCTTATTCCTGCAAAGCACTGCACACCACTTAGGGAAAACAGTTGCATGTCACCAGCAGATTCAGTCAACAGTCCTGTTCAGAGAGCCACATTGGGATGAGCAGCAGGAGATGGGCTGGTAGATGAGGCACAGGGTAAGAGATAACCTGTGCTCTAAGAGAATTCTTACAGCACAATTCTGGTTTTCCATATCTGGCCCAAAGCCTGGAGAAATATCATAAAGGTCATGATACCTCCAAAGGACATAACACCTGAACAGCACTGGTTTGATAAGACATGCTAGAATTGGCCCTAGACTGAGATGACTGTCTTTTTTAAGTGGAAATGCCCTGGAATGTCGGTCTTGGTTTCATTTTAAGCAGCATTCCCTTCCCAAGCAAGTCTCAAATGATTCCTTAAATGCTTGAACTGAAGACATTAACTGAAGTGCCTTCAGCTCAGTCCACCCACAGGTGATCAGTGTTTTTTAGTTCCTTTGTCTGGATTCCTCTCATCCAGCTCACCTTAGACACATGAAACCCAGCAGGTTCTTGGTTTTCAGGGTTTGCCTTGACTGCTTCAAACCAAAGATTTGGTTTCCTGTCCTGGAACAAAGAAGGGATTTGCTTTGCTTTATGTGGGATCTGCATATTTGGAAAATGTTCTGTCTTAAGATGTACTTTGGGATTTTCAAGAACTCATTTTACATAAGCAGGTAATCAGGTCCTTTTAATTGGCACTAACCAATTTCTGTGTCTCTCCACTTCCAGGTACACTGTTTTACGCAATGGGCATCATCAGGAACATGAGAAGCTTCCCATCCACAACGACCCTGAATCCCAAGAGTCCTGTTTCTAGTCATGGTCCTAACAGAGGAATGGTCCGGCTGAAAGAACCTTTTAGAATATCCAAAGGATTCACGGACAGCAGGACTTGTTGAAAAATCATTCATCTGCATTGTCATGGTGCCTCCTACACTGACTTCACATGGGTGTCCAGCTGTGAGATGGATGGAAGGTACAGGACTCCTGTACCTGCAGGGATGGCTGGACCATGGCTATGCCACAGCTTTATTCCAGAGGGGGTGATTCCTGTCAACGTAAGGACACAAAACAAATACAAACCACTCAGTGAAGGGACTTCTGCTCTCCTTTTCCAGCTGCCCTCTGTGTACAAGTCATCTCTCTGTCCTGCAGTCTTAGAGATCACAAGGTCTGGCTGAAGCCCTATCAGGATGTGAGACTAAAGCCCTGCTTTATCTGTGCGAGATCCTGCCCGTGGTGACTGGATGGTCAGGGGAGAAACAGCACTATGTTTTCTTCAGCAAAATAAGGGGGAACATTTGCCCTTTGATTATAGCTACTGGTGAAGGGTCAGCACGAGCTGCTGGTTCACCCAACCCTGCAGAGCTTTGTAAATGCTTTTATTGTGTTTCCTGGCCACGTTCACTGGTGGAAGCCTGACAAGCTGGAATGGGACCTACAGAGACATCTCACCTCTGACAGGGCCCTGCCAGCACTGCTCCAGTCCAGCCCATGGGCCCAAAGCCTTATCCATCCTCTGCCATTTGGAGGCCAGTGGAGAGGATATGGCCCTCAAACCCAGGCAAGCTGCCAGTGCTGTGCTCACTTGAGCAAACTTTAGGCATTCCGACCCAAAAGAAAGGTTGGCCAAGAGACAGTCAGTCTGTAATAGATCACTAAGTGCCATCTTGAAAACTACACCATCTAATAAACTTTTCTAGCTACATTAGGGAGAGAGACTTCCACTTCCATTTTCCACCTTTATTTTTGTATTTGTTTCGGTTCCCTTCCAGTTTCAAGAAGTTTCAAGATTTTCAAATATCACCATATGCACATCTGCTTGCAAAGATCTCAGTCCTCAGCTGCTTCCTGCATGTAGATGTTGCCATATTCCTTGTGAGCTGCTTCCACCTTTGCATGGAAAGGGTGAGCAAGGCTGTAGACTTCGCAACTTTGGGAGAATGATCTTCATGCAGTAGGAAATATGCAGGATCAAGACTATGAGCCTCTACCCTTTTTAGATGAAGATCGAACCCAGAGATGCCACCCTGAGCCTAGAAAATAAACTTGTACTTTGTTATATTGTGTAATCATGTACAGCTATTTTTAATGTAAATAGAAAAGGTGACATTATTTATTATTTTTTATCAGGAACATGTGTTTTTTTCATTAAAAGCTTCTAGACCCAGGAGCTTAACATTATATGTATTATTATTTAGTAATATTTCTGTTGCTATGTGACAGGTATTTACTATAAACAGACAAATCCTGCTTTGAACAAACAAAAATGTTGCTCAGTAGGAAAAAAATTGTGCATGATAAAAACAAGTGGCTTCCCTGCCATGGTGTCTGACTTCTTTAAATACTTCTTCCACATAAAACTCACTGACAAAACTTCACAGCATTTTCCTTTAGGTTTCAAAAGGACTCAGGGGAGAAATAGCCCTAATTAGAAGACCAGACACTTACCAAAGTAGAGAAGTGCTGGCAGTTAGAAAGAGACAAACTGTTGGTGTTTTCATGGAAAGTGCTCCTGGTTCATCATTAGGACTTGTTTGGCAATGACCTGTTTTTACAGGGCTTTGTTTCCAAAACAACTCTACTGTGGACATCAAAACAGAGCAGAGAGTGAAAAAAGAAAGGTCAATATTTAAAGTTTGGAAAAAAATCCATCCAGGGCTGCTTGAGTCCTGTGATCCTCACCCTCTGTGGGACTGCTCGCTTTGGTTATGTCAGGATTTGGGTACATGACTCTGCAGAACAGGTTGTCTTGGTTTCACCTCAAGTGTCAAATTTCTTAGAGAAGTCCGAAGCTTTTCTCTGTCCCCATTAAAAGGCATCAAAATATTGGTGTGAAATTTCTTGGAGTGATCTGGAATCAGCAGCATGGGGATGCTACAGTAATGGTGTTTTTTGTTTCTGCTGTTGTCCTTGAAGTGTTGTTTTCTCCTATGTTTTTATGTGCATTAGTAATATATCTCTTCTTAATTTAAAATTAACTCCTCAACAGGGCAATTTCCTCACAGGCAACATTCCATCAATGGGCTCTATCAATGGGAGCAGTAGCTCACTAGCCAAAATGGTCAACAGCTGTGATGGGAAAAAAATTCCAAACACTGTATTTGAATGAAAAACCAAACACAAAATGTCCACGTTCTTGTGTCATTTCTGACAAACTGTTGGACTCAGCAAACCTGTCATGAACCACCTGGCAGCTCCTGCTTAGTAAGTCAATAATCTCAGCAAAGCTTCTGTGAACCCAGCAAATGACGTTGTCTGTCATCAGTAATGGTAGAATTTCTCTAGGAAAGGAGCTGTCTCACAGAAAGGACCCAGACTCAATTTCCTTTGCTAAAGGTGGCTGCTCCTTCAGCCTCTCAGTTTAGCTTCCCATTGACCCTCTTGGCTGGTGGTGTCAGAGCCTTTGCCTGTGCTGAATAATGTGTAATGCATTGGCTGTTTCTAAAAATAAAAAATCTTCTGTGTGCACTGAAGTGAACTCCAGCTCATGCTCATTTCTTGGCTGTTTTCACTCAAAACACATGATGTGACCAAGTTACACTTTCTTGCCTTCCAAGACACTCTAACAGCCAGAACAGGGAGGGAGAATCCGGCCCTTCTTTGCTTTTTCTACAACTCCCTGACAGGAGGGTGGAGCCAGGTGGGGGTCAGGCTCTGCTTCCAGTGAACAAGTAACACGACTAGAGGAACAGCCTCAAGTTGTGCCAGGGGAGGTTTGGGTTGGACATCAGGAGGAATTTCTTCACTGAAAGGGCTCCCACACATTAGAATGGGCTGCCCAGGGAGGTGGTGGAATCCCCATCCCTGGAGGTGTTCAGGGAATGGCTGGATGTGGCACCCAGTGCTCTGGTCTGGTTGGCAAGGTGGGGATCAGTCAGGTTGGACTCGATGGTCTTGGAGGTCTTTTCTAACCTTTATGACTCTGTGAAAATACTGATGAGCCCTTGGGTTGTAATACCCATTCCTAATTGTTATCTACCAGAACAATCCTGCCTCCTGCACCAAGTTCTCATGCACTGGCTCTTTCTCCCCACTGATTGTTTCTGAGCCCTCCCTCTCTCTTCTTTACCTGTGCTGTGCCCACCTGATCTCTCACATCAGCCCTGAGAGCTCTCACTGCTCTGGGCACCACGCTCAAGACAGGCATTTACAAACAGGGAGTGAAACATTATTTTGTGCAGCTGTTTCTCTGAGTTTCCCAGTGAATCTGACTAAAAAAGGAAGCTTCTTTCTTCCTTCCTTTCCATCTCTTTCCAGCCACCTTTCACAGATTCACTCTAATAACCATGTATTTATTTCTTCACATAAATATGCTAGTACTCATCAGTGAGTGATCACACCAGCACTTTATGGTCTGGGAACACTTTACATGTTTTGGAACGCAGCAAGCCTTGGAAGCCTTAAGGATGGTGCCTGATGGAGCTGTTTTCTTGGATTACAACTCCTGACACTTCTCCTTGCCAGAGGTAATGTGCTGGCAGAACAGAGAGCTAATGAGAAATTGGCTGGGTCTTTGCTAAACTATCTTCAGGAGGCAGATCTGTCAACACAGTTGTATTCCCATATTTCTGCATTTTTGTAGGCTCCAGAAGCATTTCTAGGATCTTGCATGACTTTTGATAGCAGGGCATGGGCTCAGACAAGGAAATTCAAAGATGCATTGGGGTTGCTTGTGCTGAAAGAGGGAAGTAGAGTGACAGGCTGGCTCCTTCCAAAGGCAAACTAAAAACATAGCCTAAGGCTAAATCTGTGTGCCAGTAGGCCCTGGGCAGTGTCAGGGTGCATATCCCCATGAGCTGAGCCATTCTTCCTACTGCCCAGCTTCCCCTGTTTCCAATACTCAGTTTACTCAGACAGAAAGAGTCGTGCTGCAAAGTAAAATTCAGAGCTGTAATAAACAAGACACCAATGGGAAGCAGCGTTCACCAAACAGAAGCTCCCAGGAAGGGTGCAGAAGAGGCCATACATTTAATTAGCTGATGTTTAAGACTGTCTGGAGGGATGTGAAGCAATAACTGGATGATACACGCTCTGTAAATGTCAGTGCTTGAGGCAGGCAGCAGCTGTGTTGCTTAGTGAGATGTATGGAGATATGGCTGCAGCCCAAGAGTACCAGCAGGTCATGCTCATAAACACCATGAAGACAGCTGAATCCTTATGGGGAAACGTCCCTTCCACATTTATCCTTCAGTTTTTTCAACACTGAATATATCTTCAGTTTTTAATCTTGGAGAGGTCAATGGAAAAATAAGTAGAAACTATCTCAGCAGAACAATTTGCAAAATGTTTTCAGTAAATTCTCAAAACCCTTTTAATTTAATGCAGAAGTGTACAATGTGACCTGCTCCTATTGCAGGATCTGATGCCTGTATACACACAGGAAGAAGTGAAAACATTTACCACAGTGGCTTAAAAATGAAGGCAACAGCTTCCATCTGCATTACACCCCAGTACGTCGTAGTGCAGTGTGTGAGCAGAGCTGAGAAGGGCTCACAGTGGGATCTGAGGGATAGTTGTAGAGGTGTGTGGGAAGCCCTTATTCGGAATCACAGAATCATTAATGTTGTAAAAGACCTCCAAGGTCATCGAGTCCAACCTGTGCCTGATCCCCACCTTGTCAACCAGCCCAGAGCACTGAGTGCCACATCCAGCCATTCCTTGAACACCTCCAGGGATGGGGACTCCACCACCTCCGGGACAGCCTTGACAGCCTTTTCAGTGAAGAAATTCCTCCTGATGTCCAACCTAAACCTCCCCTGGCACAGCTTGAGGCCGTTTTCTCTTGTCCTGTCCCTTGTTCCCTGAGAGCAGAGCCTGACCCCCACCTGGCTCCACCCTCCTGTCAGGAAGTTGTAGGGAGTGAGGTCACCCCTGAGTCTCCTTTTCTCCAGGCTGAGCTCCCCCAGCTCCCTCAGCCGCTCCTGGTGCTCCAGACCCTTCCCCAGCTCCTTTCTCTTCTCTGGACATGGTCCAGCATCTCAGTGTTTCTCTTGCTGTGAGGGGCCACAGAACTGGACACAGCACGTGAGGTGTGGCCTCACCAGTGCCAAGCACAGGGGGACAGTCACTGCCCTGGTCCTGACTGTCCCTCTGCTCTTGCTTACAGAGGTTCTGTCCTATTAAGCTTATTTAATTTCTACTTACGATTTATTTGCAGTCACAGGAGCCCTACCTTGGCCTGGCACGTTACCTGAAGGAGGCCCAGGTTGGAGGGGGCACTGTGGTGCTGGTCTGGTTTGCAGGAACAGTGCAATCCAAATGGACTCATTTGAGCCATGAAAACCATTGTTAGAGTCACCTTGATGTTGAATAGCACAAATCCCTTGCTGCAGAGATCCTCTTTTGGCAAACTCTGGTCCTCCATGAGTCTCTGTTATAACAAAGGACACTTGGGGGAGAATGTATATTGGAAATGTGTTAGGTAACCACAAAAACCCTGAACATGAGTCAGAGCTGAGAGAGCTAAATTATACTCACCTTGCCTTTGACTTCAGCACACTTCAAAACGGTTTTTATTTTACCCTACATTCCCCCACTGTCCCTAAATGGGATCTGTGAATAATCAGTAACAGCGTATTCATTGTACTTAGATGTTTTTGCACAACTCAAAATACCTCCCAATTTAGGTATTACTAACAAATATCTTCATCCTAAAGATCATCTCAGCAAAGGATTGTGGCTCTCAGAATGGAATACACTCCAAAATGTCTTTGCTCAGCAAAGATAATGAAGAATCAAAAGATATTTAAGGCATTTATTGACGTCAGCCTGACTTAATAGTGTGCAACAGAACCAACCCATTGGGTCCAAATCGTGTCCATTTAATTCTTAGCACAGATGAAAAATACAGAACAGCTCCAGCCAAATGATGGTTTCTTGGAGCAGGCAGCCCACACACGGCAGACTCTGAGTCATTCTGAAGAGTTTTCCTCACCCATCTTTGTAAATGCTGAAGCCAAGGAGAGCATTTTCATTCTGTAACTGTCAGCTGTAAATCCCTCCATAGTTTAAGATCCCATCTTTTTCTCCACATTTGATTTCCTGAGCCCTCTCTGAGTACTACCATGACAAAAGGCGAGAAATCTGTTGCTTTCTTCTACTAATATGAACTCAATAAAAATATACAAAAGCTTTTAGTTTTTTCAATTTTTGTATAGATTAAATCTTCCTGAATAAAAAAAAAAACCAAAACCAAAAACCAGTTAATCTCCTCTCAGCACCCAGTGACTGTTAATGAGCTGATGGAAACCCTGCAGTGGATGGGCACTTGTTTTGGCTGTCCTGTTATCACATGCAGTGCACACGTGTCCATACAATTTCCCTGTCGTCCCCCTGACAAGGGATTAAATTTGAATGGCTTGAACTAGCAGGAATCATGGTCAAGGTATGGAGTTTGTAGTTGCTTCTAACACACTGAAAAGCTCAGAGACCAGAGTGAGGGTAGAGGCAACATTCCTGTCTCTACCATCAACTCCTTATAGCTTTTTCTTGAATAAAAACACACTTTCAAAATCCTTTAAAAGACCCAAACAGTGATTTTGTCTTTCTCCTAAATCAGAGAAAAAAAGCAAGAACCAGCATAGTGCCCACCTCTGAACACAATGTTTCATGCTCCTCTCTACCCTCCCAAGCTCACTTTCTCCTTTATCTATTTACCTTCTGTACTCTCTGTTTAGATAACATTTCTCAGGCACTTGAGCATCTCCCAGCTGGGATCACTGCATCCTCTGTCAGGAGGAGCTGTTAACTCTCCTTGCTGTGGGCAAAGCAGTTCCAGCACTTGCCTGCAGTGGCACAAGCCACCTCAGACTCATTTCCCAATTAGTGGAGAGCTAATCAATACCTACCTTTGCCCAGCTGAATTAGGCCCTCTAAGTGCTCATTTCTCTTCACTGACTGTAAGAGGACACCTCTCTGACTGGTTCATCTGCACTAGAGGCATATAAATCCAACAAAGATATAACCTACCCAGGAAATGTGTTGTTGAGTCAGACCTAACCTAGGGAAGATAATCCTTCCTATTTAATCCTTTCCCTGAAGGCACATGAATGTGAAGCACATCAAGGAAGCAGGGGACAGAAGTGATACAGCCATATCAGAGTTTCCTTTATCATTTTCCATACCTATCAGATTCAATGTTTGCAAAGCTGCCTTTGAACTCTAGCAAACAGCTTCCTTATATGTCCAGATGCAAATATCACTGTTTGTTAAGTGGGCTCTAAATGGATTTCATAGTTCAGCCCAAAGCTGCCACACAGGAGCACAGCAAAGCTAAAAGCCCCAGCTGGAGTTTTCTGCATTGCAGAAAGAAGAGCAGAGCAGGATCACTCAGTCACCTTATGTGCAGTGACAGCAGCCTGACCTCCTGCCAGAGAAAAACGAGAGGAGTCAGGCCAGACTGCAGTGTGAAGAGGGAAGCCTGTCACGCAGAGAGAAGACATCTGGGATGCTCCCTGAGAAACGTAACAACTGGGCAGGCCCAGGGAAAACCTCCCTTGCCATGGCAATTGAACAACAGACTGCCCCAAACAAACAAAATGCATTGACGGAGGAGCTCAGACACAAAA